AAAGGAGCCAACACAGCTGAAATCCACAAGGGAGTACAAAAGACTGAATGGTCTAGAAATCTTGACCGAAAAAGACAACTTCACTCTTTGTCATCTTCTACTCCTGCTTAACTCCAGCAGAGCCTTCATAAGATGCACAACTGACAAAGCAATGAGTGACATTTGCTATGAGAAACCGAGAAGAATGAGGGTGGCTAAAAACAGCGTCAGAAGCAGAGAGCAATTCCTTTCCACCTCTAACAATTATTCTGACACTGGTTGAAGGAAAGGTTCTATTGGCTGACATGGGAACGATGACAGGGAAGCAGCTCTGGGGAACAGCGTTCCAGGCAATGAACCAGTATGTTTGTCCTGTTTTCTTTTTTTTTTTTTAATTTATGCAATAGCTGAGGTACAGGACAGAGACATGGGAGGGTGAGAGGATTCACCAGAGACAGAGTGGGGAGCAACAGGCAGTAGGATCGAAGCACAGTGCTGAGGGGAGCAACGGGCGAGACAGGAGAGGTCTGCTGAGCCATGTGGGATTATCCCTGGCCAGATGGGAATCGAACCGGAGTTGCAGAGGCTGCGGACAGCTTCACAGCGCTGCGCTCAACCTGCTGCGCCACCGGGGAGGTCCTGTTTGTCCTGTTTTTTTTTTTTTTTTTTTTTCCCCAGGTAGAAAGTAAATGTTGTGGCCAGGGCAGAGTGAGCAAGGTCATGATGCAGTTAAAATCAAAGTAGTGGCCAAGGTGACACTATGCAGGCGTCAATAGGCATATGGAGGGCAGGGCGGCCGGGTGTGGGTCGTGTTCTATTTGGAGGAAGACCAAGTGAACAGAGGCGGCTCTTGTAGTCACCTGTGCAAGTGTTGGTGGAGACCTGGCACAGTGATCACGGTGAAAGAGACCGGAATTTGTTTTGAAGACAGAATTCAACATTGCAATGAGGTGGGTGCGGGGTGAGGGAGAGGGAGAGGAGGGACCATTTAGAGACATCTAATTGATGGGTGACTTGAGCAAATGAGTCAGTGGCATTGTGTTCAATGATGAAGGGAAAGTGAGTGGGAGAACAGCTTTCCAGAAGCAAAAGAAGAGATCACCTTTGCTATGTTGGGTTTGAAGTGTCTGTTAGTCTCAGCAGATGGGACATTGCCAAGTAGATATCACGTCTATGAATTTATAGCGTTAGAACTGTAACTTGAAAGGCATCTCCCTTATCCCCATATTTAGAGATTAAGTAAATGAGGAGGAACTGGCAAAGACATTAAGCCACTCTTAGATGAATTTACTCAGTGTCCCTAGCCGAGACTGACTCTGAGACTATTTCATTCGCATTAACGTGTATGTTGTTCTGCTATTTGAGAGCTCATTGTAGAATGGGAATGAACTTTAAGGTATCATGCAGAATTCTCCAGGGCTCAAAATTCTGTTCATTCAGTTTCTACACTGAGTACTTTCTATGGATGAGTAACATACCAAGTGGGTCTTAATCTTAGCTGCAAAAAAATTCCTTTGCACCCCAAATCTTCACCTGTTAATCACTTTGCAAATATATGGGATTTCACTGTGTTTACTTCCTCCCAAACAAAATTCACTGGAAAGTTCTACTCTGTTTTATAAAGTGCTGCTGACTATCTTTTTCTGCCCAAGTTGAGCATTTTGTGATCAGCAAATTCTTTTTCTACAACACTCGAAAAACAAACATGACATATAAATATTGTGCAGCAGGTAATTAGCCCATTTCCAATATTATGTGATGGTAACCCTTTAAATATACTCTAAAATTCTATGGGGACTACACCAGGGGCAGGATGGGGAGGTGGGGGAAGCAAACATTGCTTAAAAATAAACAATGATGTAAAAATAAAAAAAGAAAATCAATAATAAGTATTTTATCTGGAAAAAATAAGATAAAATGTACTCTAAAATACCGTTTCGCCTTCAGATTAAAATATTTCATATATGTTCTCTGCAGCTATCAGATGATTTTATCCCTAGTTTTCTGGGGTGGCTTATTTAAAATAAAAGTGGCTTGTCCTTGTTTTTCAGAAGTATCTCAGGATAAAGATATTCTCTGGTCAACCCAACAAGTTCTACTCCAAGACAGGAAAAATGACACCCTTCCATTTTTCTCGAGGCAAACGCCCCATCAATCATCTCAAAAGCAGAATATTAAGGGGAAAAGACTGAAGACTTACCTTAAGGTGGAGTGCAGCATCCTCATTCCCTTCAAATAATCTCTAGAATCATTCTTGAATGTTTACAAAATTTTCTCACTTCCAAAAGTAAATGATTACCTAAAATCTTTAGTTATTCCATTACCAAATGAAAGAAATTTATCTGATTTATGGTTTAATTTTAACTTTTGTTTAATTGAGAAAATCTCCTGCATTCTACAAACCCAGATTGAGGTCCCTTACATCGAACTAATTTCCAGTAATCATTAGTGTGGTTTCTGATCTTCTCTGGCCTCTCCGTTCAGCACTTTCCCTTGCGGGTTCTCTTGCTCTTTTTATATTCCTTTTGGATAGAGTATATCTTGTCCTATTCTGAACTCTCCCCACTATCCGACTGTTTACAGAGGGATATTCTCCATAAAGTGGTGTCATAATATGTTTTACTTGACCAAGATGATCTTGGTGATCTTCTGATTACAGGTATTTGCACAAGGTTCTTGAGTTTTCCATGAACATTGGCATCTTGTTATTTCTTCCAGTTGTCACCTGAGCCTGTCTGGCTTATAATATAGGTTTGTTTGTTTGTTTGTTTGTTTGTTTGTTTGCTTCCTGAAAAGAACTATAGCTAAGCTATTGTTTTGGGAATTTTATAGGTTGTCTATTTGTTTCTCAAGTCGATAATAACATCACTTGAAATTAATAATAGCAATTTGGTTTCCTCTCTTTTGACATTTTTATCTCCACCACCAAGCTCCTCCCAACCATGGACTCATGTCTTTAACAGAATTGCCAGAACAAACTTGAATAATGGAATAAAAGTATTCCTTTTTTTTTCATGACATTACTCAGTTTTCCTTTTACATAGTGAAGTTGGTTCTTCATTTAAAATAGATATATTTTGTTATCTTAACAATTTTCTTTCTGTTCTCTTGAGCTTAAAAAATCAAAACACAGGAATATAAATTGAATTTTGAAATGTATTTGTAGCTTCTATTGAGATTACTGCTTCTTTTTCTCCTCTATGATGCATGAACTGTTTATACTTTTTAATTTTGAAAGCAGACTTCATTCCTGAGAGTAA